CCACGGCCTGCCTCCGGCACGGTCTCTGAGTTTGCACGGTTGTGTAACAACATGTATCCAATTACGGTATTACACAAATCCACCATGCTCCACCTTGTCTCCCCTCTCCAGTCCCCGGCACCTGCCCACCGTTTACCGCCCCTGCAGTCCTGCCTTTTCGGGAGCACCCCACGGCTGGAATCCCACAGTCCGGAGCCGGCTCGGGAACACACGTGTCGGGTTCCTCCACGGCTTCAGAGCTCACTCCTCTGTAGAACTCGAGTCACGCTCCACCGTCTGCACGGCCCACGGCGTGTGCGTCCATCCCCGACTCCAGGGCACCCTGGTCGCTTCCCAGTTTGGGCAGCTGTGGATAAAGCTGCCATAAACATCCGTGTGCAGGTGTCACGGGGACCTACGTTCTCACGTCCTGGGGGTAAATGCCGAGGAGCACGTCCGCTGGACTGCATGGCAAGAGCGTGGCTGGTTTTGTAGGAAACCACAGGCCCCTCCTGACGTGGCCGCGCCATTCCCTGCTGCTCCGAGGGGCTCCGCTGCTCCACATCCCGCCAGCATCTGGTGCTGACCATGTTCTGGCCCGCGGCCGTTCCAACGGGGGGCGGTGGCGTCTCCTCACGTTTTCCTCTGCGCGTCCCCGAGGACGCATGATGTGGAGCATCTTCCCGAGTGGGTGTTCCCTGTGGGCAGATGCTCTGTGTTGGGTGTCTGTTTTCCTGTTGTTGAGTTTGAGAGGCTTTTTTTGTATATTTTGGGACAGGAGTCCTTTATTGTATTTGTGTTTTGTGGATATTTTCTCCTAGTCTGTGGCCTGAGTTTTCATTCTCTGTATATAATTTGATTCCTGCTTTTGGTTTTTTATTTTGTTTTTTGTTTATTTTATTATTTATTTATTTTTAAAAGATTTTATTTATCTATTTGACAGAGAGAGAGACAGCGAGAGAGGGAACACAAGCAGGGGGAGTGGGAGAGGGAGAAGCAGGCTTCCCGCTGAGCAGGGAGCCTGATGCGGGGCTCGATCCCAGGACCCTGGGACCATGACCTGAGCCAAAGGCAGACACTTAACGACTGAGCCACCCAGGTGCCTTGTATTAAAAAATTTTTAAACGTTGCAGAGAACGTTCTAGTACCGATATCTCTTTGACACCTCTCATTGCTTTGCTTGGATGTATTTTAAGAAAGAGAATTATGGGGCTCGGATGTACACATTGATTTGTGAAGCTGGCTGTGCGGCAGAAAGGGTTTATTCATTCACATGTTTATTCCACAGATACCTACTGAACCCCTGCCGCAGGCCTGCTGCCTTCCAGGTGCTAGGTCGTGATACCGAGCACAGGAGTTTCCGGCTCTGCCCCCCTGGGCATACGCCCAGCTGCACGAGACAGTAGGCCCTAGTCTGCTCTGGTCACTACTGAGTTCTGCTCTTTCTGGGTCCTCTCAGTGTATGATCAGGCAAAATACGAGATCCAGGAAAGGTGTGTGTAAGTCAGGGTTTTACAATCAAATACACAGTGGGACATGTTATTAAAAGGATCCCCAGATGAGTTTAAATCATTTTCTCACTCAAAAACTCTATTCTTTGATTATAATCTGATAGTTACTTTATTATCATTAATAAAGAAGTAACCAGAAAAAAGGAGGCAGCCAGCCTCTCCATGCACTTGGAAACCAATAACGAGCTTCTGCATAATTTATTGAAGAAGACTGTCATAGTAAAAATCTATGTAAAAAGCAAAAAATCATGAAATACCTAAACTGAGTGACAAAGCTTCCCGTAGTTGCAGCAGAATCGGTCCTTGGAGGGAAAATTACTGCTTCGCCAGAAAGTAAGATCAGGAATTCCTGAGCAGAGCACATCACCACGGATTGGGCGGCTGCAGGCAGCAGGAACTGATTGCCCCACAGCTCGGAGCCCGGAGCACGAGGCCAAGACTTCAGTGGGGCGCTTCCTCCTGCGTCCCAGCCTGTCGCCTCCAGTCCTCCACTTGCAGACACATCACCCAGCCTTTGCCTCTGCCTTCACGGCGAGGTCTGCCCTGCGAGCCATGTGTCTAGAACTCATTTTGACCTGACAGCATCTGCAAAGGTCCCATTTCCAAATAGAGCCACCCTCGGGAGGGGGGCCTATTGAACCCACTGTGTGTATGGCCTGGGAAGTCGGAAATCGAGTGACAGAGCCAGACTAAGCAAACGCATGCAGAGAATAATAAAGATCTGGCAGAAGGTAATGAAACAAAGAGATCAGAGGTGGTAGCAGATGATAAACGCAGAGATGAATAAAATAGGCATCTGGGAAGGCGGCCTCGCAAAGAGATGGTGCAAGCTGGTGCACAGGTTGGGGAGAGGGCGCTTTCTGAACAGGGTGCCTGGGGAGGTGCGGAGGCTGAGCTCACAGGGGCCCGCGGGTGTCCCTGGTTCCACTCGGCTTATCTGGGCAGGCTCAGAAGGCCTCTCCTCCAGGAAGCCCTCCCTGACTCTTCCCCTCCGCCCGCCCAGCCCTGTGCCTAGTCCTCTGGGGCTCGTGCTGTTATCTTGCCCTGACTTTTCACCTGTCTCTCCTGTTAGACGGAAATCTTCATGACAGAACTGTGCGTTTTTCTCTGTAGCAGTCTCTGGGTGAGGTACTCAACAAGTGATTGAAACTGCACATTTCTCTCCTCACCCTGCCACTGAAGGACGAGTGCCCCTGGACGTGGCCCTTGCCCTCTCCTGGCTTTGTAGACAGGAATGACGGCCCTGGGCCCGCCTTCTGCTCTGAGAGGCTGTAGCCCCGAGAGAGGGGCTTGTGGGCGGTCCGGGGCCGGCACCATCGACCCCTGCCCTGGACACCACAGATCTCCGATACCCCGGCGCCCACTCGGTCGGAGGGGACAGGGGTTGAGGGACTGTCTCCCTCGGGGGAGCCCTAGAAATGCTGACTGTGCACAGCCACTGGGAGTCCAGTCCCCACTGGGACACGGCCTCCCCTCCTCTGGGGTGTTCAGGGCCTGTGCGCGGGGTCAGGCTGACATGGCTAACCGCCCCAGCTGTGGCCTCAGCCAGCACGCCTGGGGGTGGGGCGTGGAGGGAGGGATTCTGCCTGTCCCGGGTCCCAGGCATGCGGGCTTCTCTCAGGAGCAGAAACTCAGGTCCAGAGAATCTCCCCTCATCCCACCCCTCCCTGGCCAAGAATTTTCTCTTCTCAGGCCACAAGCCTGCCTTTCACCCCTCGTGCCAGAAAAACGTGGTCAGAAGTAGATCGTGACCGTCATTTACGATCCAGGGAGCACTTGGCCCCGGGGGGCAGAACAGGGACAGTCCCTGGAGCTGCGTTAGGCGTTTCTGGTGCAGATTCTGGCCGCGGAGGTTTCTGGAAATGCTGTTCCCACACTGCTGTTGTGAGGACTTCTCTGACCCCGTGCCCTTGACCATCCTGCAGCCCAGACAGCTCATCAGCGTGAGAACAGGAGACAGGAAGGGGGCTCCGGAAAATTAGAGGTTTTCCTGGAATCCCAAGGGGGAGGGGAGGGGATGCCATCCCGTTTCCGCCCAACGCCTCCCCAAGTGGCCTCAGATCTCCTGGATCCTGCCCAGTTAGGCCCTTTGCTGGCAAGCATGGAAAATGGCCCGTGGCAGGACAGTGATGCCCACGGTACCAAGAAAGCGAGGCGCCCAGCACTCTTCCCTTCCCTCTGTGTGTAACACAGCCACTGCGCAGGTCTTCACCTGGGCACCTCTCCCAGTGGCCCCGGGGCCGGCCCGGACACGATGGGGCTTCCTTGCAGGTCTCGTTCCTCTGCCCTGACCCTCCCGGGTGGGCGTCCCGTAACCCTGCCCTTCCTGCTGGAAACCCTCTCGCTGCACCCAAGCCTCCCAAGGGGGCTGCTGAGTGAGATGGCACCCCCAAGCCTGGGCTCTGGAGGGCGTGTCGCAGGCCGGGGCCCAACATCAGCCCCCAAGCCTCTGAGCATTGTGGTCACGACAGCATATGTAACTCAAGGACATGGGGCTCAAACCCCCTCCTGACTCTGTTCATTCACCCTTCCTTTCTAGCCGGTGCCTGAGGTGCCACGTCTTGTGAGTGGGGAGGGTCACGGCTGGGCGTGTAGTGGGTTCTGGCGGCCCATCGTGTTGAAGCAGTGTGGGGAGAACTCTGGGACTTAGAGACGAATGGTGGATGGAAGGCTTCTTGCTGGAGGTGGCACCGACGTGTTCACCAGGGACACCGCTTGGGGGGTGGGCAGTAAGGTGGAGGAAGCCCTGTGTCCCTTTTTCTGCTCTCCCTTGGCCAGTAGCTCTGGCTGCAGGTTGGGTACTTGCCTCTGGGGGTTTGTCTGTGTGGGATCCCTGGAGCTGAGCATCTGTGTGTCCGCCCTGAGACCCCAGTGCTGTGTGGGCCATTCCCCAGTCCGGGTCTCATTGTTTTCTCAAAGTCAGTGTGTCCAAACCCAGCACACATCAACCACGTGAAAAACAGCCCAAACCTGGGAAAACGGCAAGGATGTGGGGCACGTTCGGGCACAGCTGCTGTGGGAAACGGCTTGGCAGGCAGTTCAGCAAACCGTGCGGTTCTGGGCGAGCAAGGACGGGAGCCTCGAGGGGAGGGGACTCTGCACCCACTGTGGCATTTGCGGGGTTGGGGCGAGTCCTGAGACGTGGAAAGCGCGTTCTGGGCTGGGAGGAGCCCGTGCCGGCTGGGGGACACGTGCAGGCAGGTTGTGACCATGGCACCCTCGAGGGGATGCGTGTCATGCCAAGACTGGAGGCCATCAGGGCCTTCAAATGTGTCTGATGTTTCCCATGGCCGACACCTTGCCTGTGCTGGTGGTGAGGGTGGGCAGAAACCCTCCGAGCAGGAGCTCTGTGGGGCTGGGTGGGAAGACATGGACTTGGGGGTGCCCTTGGAGCCGGCGGTCTGCCGGGCACGGAGGGAGGAGGGTTGGACAGGGCCCCTCGGCTGCACCCGCAGGTGGACAGACCGCGCCGGCTGCTGTTCTCAGACCTCCCTCTGTCTTCTCCCACAGGAAGAAAACAGACAGATTCTGACACAGCAGAAGTCAGACTCCCATGATGAGGAGGTCTCCCCGACCCCACCGAACCCCGTGGTGAAAGCCCGCCGCCGCCGAGGGGGCGTGAGTGCCGAGGTGTACACGGAGGAGGATGCCGTGTCCTACGTGAGGAAGGTGGGCCCCCCCCCGCCCCGGCCCTCTGTCCTGGGGTCCCTGCTCCCGGCTGCTCTCCCTTCTGCTCTGAGAGGGGCCGTGGTGGTGGGAACGTCATCGTCACAGCCACTGCCCACGGGCTCGCAGGGTGTGGGAGTGGAGGTCCTATGGCTCCCATCCTCCTGGAGACTAGAGCCTGGCCTCAGAGCCGCCCAGTGGGAATTCCCTCCGCCACGTTGCTGTTCCTCGGTGTCCCGCCCTCGGGTTGGGCGCCCAGCCTGCCGCTGCCAGGCCCGAGCAGGTGTGCCTTCGTCTTGGTGTGCTCTGGAGGGTGAGTGCACACGCGGTGTCCCCATGCGCATCGGTGTGCGGCCCGGCCTCCTGCCTGCCTTTGGACGGGGGCCTGTCATTTCCATCTTGTGGGTTTATATTCTTATACCCTCACTTTTACTTTTTTTCTTGGTATTTTTAGTTTTTGATCTCTTAAAAAAAGTTAATTAGGCACAAAATGGGTAGCCTATGGTTTCCCATGTGTGTGAGCCCAGGTGGCTGGGATGCTCACTCTCTCGCGGTCTGGAGGCCAGGCGTCTGAGAGCAGGTGCCGGCGGCCTGGTTCCTGGTGGGAGTCCCGCCGCCCCCCCGTCCTCCGGTGTCAAGGAGAGCGGGAGAGCGGGCTCTTGGGGGTCTGCTCCTCTGGGGTGCTGATCCCGCCAGGGCCCACCTGCAGACGCCACACGCTGGGGGGTAGGGTTTTGGGGACAGTCTGCCCATGCACCACTTTGACTGTGTTGCCGTGCAGGGTTCAGGGGCGTCGAGCGCACTCCTGCTGCTGAGCCGTTGTACCCCGTCTGTCTGCAGGGCCCTCGGGGACGCTCACAAGTCTGACTTTGACTGGCTTCCCCTGCAGGTCATCCCAAAGGACTACAAGACCATGACGGCTTTGGCTAAAGCCATCTCCAAAAATGTGCTGTTTGCCCACCTGGATGACAACGAGAGAAGGTAGGAACCTGGGAGGGGATGGGGCCGGGATCGACACCCCTCCCCAGCCTTGCTGGCCGCCAGCCGCAGGGGACGTGCGTGTGCCCAGGTCAGGATCTGAGGCTTCCATGTGCCCTTGTCATCCACAGACACCCATGGGCCTCGATGCCGAGTCATGTGGCCCCGGCGGGCACCAGGAATGACTGCAGGGTGGGGTCTTTCCGGGGGGCCACCCAACATTGGTGAGGGCCTCGGGGGCCATGTGTTGGGAATGGAGAGCCTACAAATAATTAGGAAAATTGGACTCCTGGAGAAAATCCCTGGGACTGTTCTGCGGTGCTTGTGGATTTATGCGTGTGCGCTAATTCCGCGTCACAACGTGGGCTCACGTCCTCCACGGTTTGCCCCACTCACGAGGTCGTGAACGTCCCTCTGTCAGGAAGGGTCTCTAGCATCTGATTCCATAGAGTTGCTGTAAGACCCTTACTTCCCTCCCAGGGCTGCTTGTGTTTTCTCAGTGACCATGGCTGTCCTGTGCGCTCACCTTTGGTACTTGTTTGTTTCTTCCTTCAAGTTCAATTCCTTGATGTGGATGAAAGGGTGTGTAGGGTTTTAGTTTTTCTCTCTCTTTTCTCATCTTTGGCGAGTTATGTTTTCTGGCTAGATAACCAGGCATGTTTTGATGACTGTGCTCTACAGAACCCAAACGACACGCAAATCCATGAAACAAGAAGAGAAAGTCCCCCCTGCAGCCTCATTCTGTGACACTGGTGGGCCCTTTCACCTGAGCGTCCCAGGATGGTGTGCGTGTGCAGAGTGCTGCCCCGTGCGGTGGCTCCGTGTCTGTCCGCCCCTCGCTTTGCCAGCGTTGCCGGGAGGCTTACGGCTCCTGGACGGTGCAGCGTCTATGCAGGATGGGCCCCAGCTGCAGAGTAGCTGCGCCAGAGAGACGCGGCAGGAGGTCTCAACAGATGTGATGCCTTTCCAAGGGCCGCTGGCGACATCGCACGTGTGGGTCCCCTGGGAAGGCTGCAGGCGCGTCCAGAGGCCTGGTGCTCTGGGGCCTCACACTGCGGGGGCACTTCTGGAGTCTCCGTGGTGGAGGGCAGCTGGAGCCGTGTTCCAGGGGATGCCCACCCCGTGGAAGCACACGGGGGGCACGACAGGCAGGGAGGGGAGGCCAGTTCTCTGTGTGGGCCCCGCTGCAGTGCCTGCACCCCAGGAGGGTCTTGGCATGCAAAGACGCTCAGGATTCACCCTCAGGAGGCCCTAAATGCAGTCTTGGGTCCTTGCAGGAGGGGGGCACAGGAAGGTTGCTCAAAAGAGGAGAAGCCCTGTGACCACAGAGGTAGAGATGGAGCAAGGTGACCTCGGGCCAGAGGCCGCCAGCCACTCCTAGATGCGAGAGTGGCTGGAGGGGTCCTTCCCTGGAGCCTCTGAGGGCACGGGGCCCTCCCGCACCCCGATTCCCACCTGCTGGTGCTGATTCTGGTCTTGCGGGCTCCTGAACTGGGGGGCCACACGCCTCCAGTGTTCTCAGCCCTCCTGATGGAGGTGCCCACCTGGCAGTTACGGTCTCTGTCACCAGGTGGGCCCAGATCACTCAGGAGTTGTATCTTTATTAACTTGAATGTAAACATCAAAAACTCAGTCCAAATTTAGACCTGGTTTTTGAGTAGATGGTGCATTCACATGGATCAGAAAGTCAAAAGGTGCCAGGGGTCCAGAGTGAAAGGTGAGCTATATGGAGGTGGCCCCAGGACCCTGGCTTGTCCCTGGGTCCCTCTGCAGTTCCCTTTCTGCGGACAGACTCCCCACTCTCAGGCAGGAGGTCCAATATTCCCCGCAGTGGCCACACAGACCTCTGTCCGTTCTTCACCGGGTTTCGATCGTCAGGGACGGATGGCTGCGGACTGTGCCTGGGTCCATTGGGTCCTGCTAACTTGCACTTTGGTGCCTGCTTGGGGGAGGAGGTGCCCCTCCGGGTAGACAAGAGCACACGGTCACCTGGGCAGCGCAGGGTGGACTTTGATCTCGGAGCCAGCGTGGAATATGTACCTGTACGTAGCAGATCCTGGTTTTGTTCCTGCTGGCCGGCAGGTGGGTTGCTCACCTGGGTCAGGCCCAACCTTGAGTGCAGGGAGAGAGTTCTGGGGCACAGTGATTTGGGCCTCAGTCTCCCAAAAGTTGGCTACTCACTTGGAAGATGAGTTTTGTTCTCTGGGTCTCCGTCGCCTGGTCTGGTCTGCCTTAAGCTCTTCCAGGGACGGCCACGGGAGCAGAACTCGACGTGAGCATGTAGGCTCATTATTATTTATGGCGATGGTCCCTGTGAACTTCTTCTTGCTCACGTACTCCCAGATGCAAGCGCAGCACCAGCCTGCTCCAGACACCGTGTCTTGCTGGCGTTACAGGGCACAGACGCTCCCAGGACTCATATCCCCAAGGCTTCCCTTGCTGTTGCCGGAGCCACAGGGGAGGCTAACCAAGCGTCGTAACCCCGGCATCATCAGGCTCAGCAGCCACGCCCTTCTTCAGAGCCTGAGTTCTGATGGACGTGGCCAAGGTCAGCCGAGCGAGTGAGAGGCTCCTCCGGCCGTGGTCTGGAGCCGTCGTCCTGTGTCGCTGCCTCAGATGTGTGCGGGCCAGAACCTCTGGCCTGGCCCGGCCACAGGGAGACTGGGAACGGGCTCCCGCGAGGTTGAGGTTCTGCCTCATCAACGGCACCCACCCGTCCTCCCGTGTGCAGCTTACGGGCCTGCGTGCGGCGCCCTCAGGGTGCCCCCGTGTTGTGACAGGACCGCCTTCCTGTTTGAGGGTGGGGGTCTCCTGTTGTGGGGGTGCGCCACCACGCGTTTATCCACTTACCAGTCAAGGGACACTTGGGCTGCTCCTGCCTTTTGGTGGTTGTGCCAGACGTTCCTGTGAACACGGGTGTTGGAGCCTTTGGGGTGCACACCTAGGAGTGGCTTTCGGGGCAATCGTCCCTCCGCAGGTGACTTCCTGAGGAGCCACCAGACTGCTTCCCCTCCAGCCCGACTGAGCTTCGAGCTTCCCCTTCTGTGGGGCCCACGTGCCCCCTCTGTGGCAGCCGTGTTTGAGCCGCGTCCTTCACATCCTTTCCTGGCCCCTCCCCGGCTCCCAGGCACGGGCTGGTGTAGGGCTGGTGTCGCCTGAGGGCCAGTTGATCTGAGCACTATCTCTGGCCGTCCCAGCTGCATGTGTCCAGGAAGTGTTTGTGCTCTTGGCCCCGACTTTCCAGAATCACATGGTTCCCACTGCCTCGGACTTCTCTGGATCCAGGAGCCAGGGGGACCAGAAGTGCAGGAAGCAGATGGTCGGATTGAAAATTCCTCTTGGCGAGGCTGGCTTGGGAAGAGGGCTTTCACGTGGGGGGTTCTGCTGCAGGGAAAACTCACTTTCCATATTGAAACCCTGAGGGGATCCTTTTTCTGGCTACGGCCTGTTTGGGTTCAGGAAGTGGGCTCCGGAGGGAGCGGGCCTGAGACAACGTCTCTTGACCTTTCACTTGATGTCCCCCTGCACGGTATCCAAATTCTTTGCTTTTTCCAATTTATTAGAAGCTGGGCCCAACAGCCCGAGCTGTGGTTTGGGGCACATTCTTTCCAGGTTCGCAGAGCGCCTGGCACGCCCCAACTCAGAGCTGCCTCCCGCGTGGGTGGAGGAAACAACACTCCTCTGCAAGCAAATCCACTTGTGGGGTGAGTGCCTTTGTGCTCAAAGCCCCTCCTGTTAAACTCAGATGTGAGACAGGTGACCCTGTGGTCACAGGCGGGGTGGTCTTGCCCTTGTCAGATTAAGACGGTCCCTCTCCTTCAGAAGGTTTGTGTGGCGGTGCTTCGGTGAGTCAAGAGGTGAGGGCTTTGTTTAAGCTCCTTTGTTCAGAAGAAGGTAGTGCAACGTAGCTGTGGGGGAGGGCCGCTCACCGGCCACACTGCAGTGTTCTCTCTCCTAGGACTGCGGCACTCCCAGCTGGTGGTTACTGGAGGCTTTTCTGGCCTCTGTTTCCCCCTCTGTATGTAACAAGGGTCTGTCTTCTGCCCGAGGCCATACCCCATGTCAAAGCAGAGACACGGTTCTAACAGGAGTCCCTGGGGCTCCAAAGCTTGTGCTCTGCCTCCCCCACTCCTGTAACAACAGGTCACATACACCTACAGGAGGAGGGCACATGGGAGAGGGGGTGATCCAGACTGGGTCGTCGGGGGGGCCCCAGGTGTCCTGGGATGAACTGAGACTGCAGGGAGTGGACTCTGGCTTGCTGGGTCTGGGGAGCAGCAGGGAGGACCAGGAGACCCCTGAACCCTTTGTGTCAGGCCAGAGATGCGTTAAACATACAAACACATACATGTCCAAACTGACACACACACACTAATGCATGTGCGCACACACACGTATGTGTACTCATCCACATATAGACACACGCACACACATACGTATACACAGTGCATACGTGTGCACACATTCTCACACGCACTTGCCTGTACACACAAATGCACACTCACACACACGCATGCTACAGAATTGAATGTGTGTTAAAATATTTTTGGAAGGAGACTGTTGACTCATGTCATTAAGTTGCATAATGACATTCTTTGGGACTCAGTTTCCTCAAGTGTCAAATGAGAGTAATAAAACCTACTTAGAGGGTCGCAGGGAAGGTGAAATGTAGTAATGTTTATGGGTGTATCATTATCGCCATCCACATCATCATCACCATCACCATCACCACCATCCCCATCATCCCCATCATCCCCATCCTCATCAAAACCATCAGCATCCCCATCATCACCACCATCACCATCAGCATACCCATCATCACCACCATCATCATCACCATCCTCATCACCACCACCATCACCATCCCCATCCTCATCAAGACCATCATCATCCCCATCATCACCACCATCATCATGAACGCCATCATCACCATCACCATCATCACCTTCATTATCACCATTACCATCATCACCATCCTCATTAACACCATTCTCATTAACACC